TTTTTTTTTTTACAATTTACATTCTGAAGTTAGGATGCGTCTAGTAATCTACGGTACATGAGACTGATGATATACAGTACGTGGTAACATGAGGACATTTCATTAAGGGAAGTGTGAATGAGCTAAACAAGCAAACACTGTACACAGGACCCGCTAAAACACCCTCATGGCAAAATAAAGCACAAATGCCCCCCACTATAGATCAGTATTTGAAAGAGTTCTCTTAAAATGGGTAAAGAACTTAAATGGCTAGCAAAGAATATTCTGGAACTCTAAAACATTGGAAAAAATAGACCCACCTCACATACTAAATAAATCTCACTCTAGACTACCTTCCAATAAGAAGCAAACCATTTCATATAACATAAACATTTTGGAGGCTGTCTACAACGGTAAGACTACTACTGATAGTGTAATTTTCCATCACGTGGGTACTTGCCTATAAAAATGATATGAAAGTGGCCTCTGCACACTCGCAAGTGCTGTGTTGCTCACACTGTATGCGTGTGTAAACGTGACAACACACACCCATACTCCCATCTCCTTGGCTGAATCAGAGATGGTAAAAACTCTTTAAAGCATTTTTTAAGACTCTGTAAATGTCTGAGTTCTTTTTTCACCTCTTATGATGGGATACATCTCTTAGATGTGACACAAAACTTAGAATTCTGAGGGCATACATAGGAAAAAATTAAAATGAAAAAAAAAATCATGAACCTGCGATAAAAGAACTAGGGTGAGGACGGGGAATAATCCTTAAGGAAAGGTAAGTATAATTAACAAATGACTATGAAAACAAAACAAAAAACACTTTTTAACTGTAGTGGTTCATGACATTATAATAACAGTAAAGTACAGTTTCCAGGCTTGTACGGTATAGATTCTCAGTCTCAGCACAACTGATATTTTGGGCTGGATAGCTCTGTGTTGTGGGAGGCTGTCCTTCACATCGGCTCTTCTTGTCAGATGCCAGCAGTGTCTGGCCCCCACCCCCTCAGCTGTAACAAACAAAAATGTTTCAGCCAAGGGAAAATTTGCCCCCTACCAGGAACCACTGCTCTGATCTCTCAATTACCAACTCCTCTCAAAAAAGGTTTTCCTAGTTTCTCTGAAGTCACCTGAAGGGTAGAAAACAATTTTAAAAATCCATTTTAAAGAAAGATTGCTTCAAGTGAGTTTTCCAGCCACAGAAGAAAAAAACTGGGACATTTAGTTTTTGCCCAGGTATTTAAAATA